AGCAGCAGCTCCATGCAAAAGCAGCTGAAGCAAACCCTCTCCCTAAAACAACCTCCCCCCGGCAGGAGCCACCCCTCATCCTCATAGCTCACACCTGGGGCTGCTCTGAGCCCTCTTCATCCTCACAGCTCACACCTGGGGCTGCTCTGAGCCCTCCTCATCCTCACAGCTCACACCTCTGAGCCCTCCCCATCCTCACAGCTCACACCTGGTGCTGTTGCCACTCTCCAACAGCGTCTCTCCCTCTCCAGCACACAGCCCACTTCTTACAGACACAGATCAAGCAGAAATCTACTATGGGTGTTGTTTTTTCTTAATACATCTGGTTACACGGTTAAAACACATACATGCATTGATTGTCATTGAGAGAAAGCTTTCCCGTGGAGAAAATAGTCATTTTGGTAGCACACTTCGATACACCTTCGGAAAAGCAGAATCAGCACCAACTCCTAAGACCCCTGCTGAGGAACCCTGCCCTCCTTGGGACACCCAAAGCGGCAGACCTCGAAAAAGGAGGGGGAAAGTCAAGCTTGGAGTGGAAAAAGAGAACATAAGTACAGCAGCCTTTAAAAGTGCCTGCACGGAGCAATAGTGGGAACCAGTCACATTTCTTCTTTCCTTGCTTTCTGTGATGACATAAATATGAAGTAAAAACACCTTAAACAAAAGGCAGAGCTAGGATTTTACAGGTCTTCATTTTGGCAGGCTGCATGACAGACGCCTCTTCCGGGACTGCGACGGAGAATGGCAGAGAACGGAGGCAAAAGGTGCCGGAGAGCCCTTCCTGTTCCCTTCAGCCCCTGCAGCTGCTCCGATGGTTTCAGGGCACTTGCTTGGTTCAGCACTAGATAAAAACCTTAGGGCATGATTTTCAAAACTACTGCCCATCCCCAGTCTGAGTTTCCTACATTCCTGGATACAAATGAGTGGATAGAGAGAGGGCTTCTTTCCAAATGAATTTAGCCATAGATACCTATTCTTTACCAATACCTATAAAAACGAAACACTTGCCAGGTTTTAGTATTCTACACACACCCCTCCCTGGGAATTTTGAGGCAGCTTTAGGTCCCTCTGCGGGACGGCAACCAGCGTGACCCCCACCCCTCATTCGCCACCCACCCACTCCCCCACCGCAGTGTGCCTCCCTCTTCTTGGGACCCTGGGGTGCCCCAAATGACATCAGAGCCCCGAGTCTTCACCCCCTTTTCCTGACCCCCAAAGAATGCACAGAACGAGTCCAACTGCCCTGGACAGCAGCCCAGCACTCCCTTCCAGCCCTTTCCACACCTCCATCCCCCCCGAAAGGGACTCTGCCGCAACAAGAAAGGGGGGGCAGCCCCCAGAAGGCTTGAAGCCCCCGCCCCGCCTCGCTGTCGCAGGCCAGGGGCAGAAATTGGGAGCGGCAGAGGCGGCGGGGACGCGGCACGGCCGGCACGGCGCAGAGCGGGGCCGCTCTCAGCGCGATGGTGGCGGAGCCGCAGGTCCGGCAGCGCCGGGCGGTGTCCGAGCGGCGCGGGGGGATCCGCCGAGAGCTCCGGCCCCGTGCGGGGACTCCCGCAAGGGCCGGGGGGCGCCGGGCTCCGGCCCTCGGGGCTTTATTCTCCGCGCCCCGAGCCCCGCGGCTGCGGGGGAAAGAAGCGAAGGGGCGGCAGGAAGAGAGGAGGGAGAGCGGGGCATGCGGAAGGGTGGGAGGGAGGTCGGGCTGTGGAGGAAAGCGGGAAGGGAAGGAAAAGGCCGGCAGGGAAGAAAGAGGGACGGTGGACAGAGGAGGGGGAGAGGGGGAATAGAACGGAGTAGCGGGGCAGGGACAGGACGGAGTGAGGGCAGTGGAGGGTCGGGTTTGGGAGGGAGAGGAGGGGACGGTCTGGGGGTCAAAGAACAGGAATACGGGGAAGAGGAAGGAAGGGTAGCGGGAAAGGGAGGGAACGGAGCTGCTTTGGGGAGAGTGGGAAATGCGGGAAAGAGAGAAAGAAGAGGAATACGGGGAGGAGGAAAGAGGGGCAGAGAGAGGGACAGGAGGGGGAGCCTCACAGAGCCCCGGCTCCACCCCGAGCCCGCCCCGGCGCCCCGCCCTGCCCGGCTCGGGGCTCTCCTGCTGCCGAGCCCCGCGGGCGGCCCGGCTGTCGCACGGAAATGCCCCACGCAACATTAGACAAAGCACTTTCTATGTTAAACCCTTTCTATCCTAGAAGGAGATAACTTCTCTACCTCCTTCGTCTTCTCATTTTTCTTCTTTGATTTCAAAATCAGACTTACAAAAACCTACTCCTAAAAAAGACTTGGTAAGTAGTCAATAAAGTAGTCCTGTCAATTTCATAACCTAAAGGTATAGTTATGTTTTCACAAAAAATAAACTACATGACAGTCCTACTCACTGTGTCAAACCTTATTTAAAATACTCACAAAAAAACCCCAAGATAAATAGTTCCACAACCAAAACAAAACAAACACCACTAACTAAAACCATCCATCAAAACACATTGTGTTTATCAGTCACCAATCCTAAAAAAATCTCTAGGATGTCCGGGGAAGGGAATCCACATCAGGTACGAAGGAAGGCTGCCTCCCCTGCTGGCAATTTCCTGCAGGCACCGACCTGTGGCCCTTGCCCAGCTACAATCAAGAACACCAAACATCACTGCATGATCTTAGCTGCACAGCAGCCACAAACCCACGAGTCTGCTACTCACCATTCTCCTAAGAATGCCCGGATCCTCGGGCCGCTTCGGCCACGCCCTCGTGGCAGGGTCTGCCTGGGAAATGAGGAGACGAGGAGATGCGGCATTCCCGAAACTCAAGCGCACCCTGGCTCCCACTCACTGGTTCCCTAACATAAGGTCACCTGTCTCATGGATGATGGGAAGGCAATGCAGGTTCTATTTCAGGATTTTAAGTGGAGTTTTGATCCTGTCCCTCGCAGAATACATCTGGAGCAGGTGTCCAGGTGTGAGACAAAGAGAGACAGGGTGTGCTGGCTGAAGAATGGGCTGATGTACTGGTTTTCAATGGGATAGGATCCATTTTCTTCCCAGGGAGCGGCAAAGAGCTGGGTTTGGATTCAGGACGGGAATGTGGTAGACAGCACACAGATGGCTTGGATGTTACTGAGCAGGGCTTGCCCTCCTCAAGGAGTTGCAGTGTCACATTGGACAATCCATGTCCCATGCTCTGCCAGCAAAGAGGTGAGACCATCAGCATTCCCCTCCTCATCCCTGTGTCCTTCTTAAAGAAGAATCTTCCACCCACTCTGCTCCCGAGAGCTGGCAAGTGCCCATAGGGAGCCCCCTTACCCCTCCTGGGGCACAGCGGAGGGCGGGGCTGAGGCAGGGCTGTGATGGCACAAAGGGCAGAGCGCTGGCGTCAGGCAGGGCTGTGATGTCCCAGGGCTGTGCTGGCCGCAGCACTGTGACACCACTGTGACATCACCGCGCTGTCGCTGGGTGAGACAGGCCAGCGCCGGCAGCTGCCAGTGCAGTCACGATGGGACGTGCTGGAGCCATGGGTGACGGTGATGTCCTGGTGACTGCGCTTGTCCTGCTGCTGGCCGCCGTGGCTGTCTGGTGGGCCTTTGGCCACCGGCAACCACGGAGCCGGAGCACACGGACAGCGAAGAGGAGCAAGCGCCCCAGGGTCCGGCCCAGAGGCTCATGGAGGAAGCGAGGAGCCCCTGCGGCTCCCAGGTTCCCCAGGCCTCGGGCTGCTCCTGGCGAGCAGCCACGTGCTCCCGCCAGCCCCCTGGGCAGCCCCTGCGGCTGCGGCCCCTGCCTGGCAGTGGCCCGGGAGCTGCAGGAACTGATGCTGCAGGTCTGGGATGGCAACGGGACACGTGCGCCCCTCTACTCTGGGATGTGGCAGGCCTTGTGGAAAGAGCTGAAGGAGCTGCTGGAGCGAGGCCACCTGCCCTGCTGTGCCTCGGCCAGCTCCTCCACAAGCCTCCATCCCTTCCAGAGGCTGCTCCCAGCGAGATTCTCCATCCCTGGGAGAGCCTCAAGGCCGGCAAGGATGGCACAGCAGGGGGGAGCCACCACCATCCATGCAGGAACCTCAGGCTGTCAGAGACCCTGCACCCTGCCAGCAGCCTCTGCTATCTCTGACAGCCTCCATCCCTCGCAGAGGCTCAGTGAGACCTGTCAGCCTGCAGAAGGAGCAGAGCTCGTGGACAGGTCTCCCAGCTCCCTTGGACGCACGGACGTCAACGACATGGGCGCAATCCTGACCCTTTACATGTCGGGCGAAAGCCCACAAGTCCAAATGGGAGCCCAGCCCGATGCGGGGGAGCCTGCTCAGGAGCAGCTGACGGGGCAGCAAGAGTCCTGGAGCCAGCTGTGGTCATCCCACAGCGGCCAGGACAGCCAGGACGCTGTGCCGCTTCTGCCAGCTGGCAACAGCCCGAGCCTGGTGGTGGAGACGAGCCTTCAGAGGTTCCTCCATCTGCAGGAAGCTGCCCCGAGACAGCCCTCGAGTGCCGCGAAGGGCTTTCTAGTAGCAGGTGAGATCTCCTGAGGAGCTGCCTGAGGCTCCGCCGGGGCTCTGGAGGGGCGCGGCCAGGCCAGGCCAGGGCCCCTGAGAGCAGCCCAGTCGCTGGCTGTTTCCAGTGCCTTCGATGGCCCGGCTTGAAAACGCCCTGTCTGCTTTGCAGCCGCTCCTGGGTCTCCCCCGTGCCAAGCCTCGGGCTGCAGCCCCGGCCGTCGGCAGGAGCAGAGCCCAGCCCACGACGCCGGGGACAGCGCCGGTGCCGCCCTGCCCCGCTGCCCCGGGGCTGCCGCAGCCGCCTGTGCGCGCTGCCCCGGCCCGGCTCTGCCGCTCGCCAGCCCGGCGGCTGCAGGGCGGTGGCCGCTGCCCGGCGCGCAGCAGGAAGCGGGTGAGAGCGCGGCGGCCCGCGGGGCCCGGCCCGCTCCACTCGCGGCACTTGCGGGAGGGGCGGGTCCTGGGCGCAAGGCTGATGGCTCGCTCTTGGCCGCAGGGCAAAGGAGGCAGCGGCAGGAGCGGTACCTGCTGGGTCCGCAGCTGGGCAGCGGCGGCTTCAGCACCGTCTTCTCGGGCATCCGCCTCTCGGACGGCAGCCCGGTGAGTGGCCGCGACGGCCGGGCGTGGGCGGAGGGGCAGCGGCGGGGAGGGGCAGGGCTGGAGCTCAGCCCTCCTCTCCCCATGGCTCGCAGGTGGCCCTCAAACGCGTGGCCCGGGAGAGCGTCCTGCAGTGGGACGAGCTGGTGAGCGAGCGGGGCCAGCGGGACAGAGCGGGGCGTGGCGGGCAGGGAGAATCCCGGGGTGGGCTCAGCGTGCGGAGCCGCAGCCCCGCGGGCCTGGGCACGCCGAAGAGCGGGGCCGGGGCCGGGCAGGGGCAGCCCCGAGCATCCCCCGGGCGGGAGGAAGCGCAAGCGCCTGGGAGGCTGCGGCAGGGGGCACTGGGGCATCCCGGGGAGGGCGCAGTGCAGCCCCAGGCCTGCAGCAGCAGCAGCAGCAGCACCTGCCGCAGGGACTCATTTTCTCCTCCTCACAGCCCAACGGCACCCGCGTGCCCTTGGAGGTGGTGCTGATGGAGAAGGTGGGCTCTGGCTGCCAGAACATCATCCAGCTGCTCGACTGGTTTGAGCTGCCGGATAGCTTCATCCTGGTGCTGGAGCGTCCGGGGGCATCACGGGATCTCCTGGAGTTCCTGCAGGAGCAGGACCAGGGGTTCCTGTGCGAGGAGCAGGCGCGCTGGCTTTTCTGCCAGGTGCTGGAGGCCGTGCGGCACTGCACCGCCTGCGGCGTCCTGCACCGGGACATCAAGCCGGAGAACCTCCTCGTGGACCCGGAGAGCGGCGACCTGAAGCTCATTGACTTCGGTTGCGGCACCTTCCTCCAGGAGCGGGCCTTCACGGACTTTGCCGGTGAGCCCATGGCCTGGGTCCTGCTCCCGGTGCCAGGCACTGCACGGCCCCGTTCCCTCCCGGGCCGCGGCCTTCAGCCGGCTGCCATTTGGCACGGGGCGGATGCCGTGCCCCAGGAGGCGGCTGCCGGCCCTGACGAGAGAGGGGGCGGCAAAAGCGGCTCCCGGCCCCTGGGCTCAGCGGGCCCACAAGGGCCTGGGCTGCTCTGCTGGCCTTCTTGGCCTTGCGGAATGGTTTCCTGCTTTTGGCCAGCTGGCTGGGGGACGCGGGGTGGCCTCGGGGGGGAAGCTGTGGCCGCAGGCACAGCCCCTGCCTCGGTCAGGAGGCTGGTGCCAGGCTCTGGAAGGCAGCAGCCTGCGCCCGGCCAGCGCCGCCTGTCTTCCCTAGGAACGCGCGTGTACAGCCCGCCCGAGTGGACCTGGCTGGGTTGCTACCACGGCCACGCGGCGACCACCTGGTCCCTGGGCGTGCTGCTGTACGTCATGGTCTGCGGCAGCCTCCCCTTTCAGGACGACCAAGCCATCGTGCTGGGGAAGCTCTTCTTCCGCCGGCAGCTCTCTCCAGGTGGGTGTCCGGCCTCAAGCCGGCGGGCTTTGGCAGGTGGCGGCACACGCCCGGCGCGGCCCTCACGCAGCTCCGCGGGACGTGGATCTGCCCTCACGGGCCGGCCGCAGGAGGGGCCGGTGCCGACGGGGTCAGCGTGGCACGGGCGGCTGGAGGAGGCGGCCGCGTCCCGCCGTGCCGCTCTCCCGCGCGGGGCTGAGCCGGTCGGGAGCCCGGCACGGCCCAGAGCGCTCGCGGCACGGCCCGGGCCCCGCGGGTGACGGGGGCAGCTGGGCTGGAGACTTCTGGCGGTGACCGGCGCTTTCTGTCTTCTCTCCCCAGAGCTCCAGCACCTGATCCGATGGTGTTTGGCCAAGCACCCTGCGGACAGGCCGGAGCTGGAGGAGATCTCGCGCCACCATTGGGTGTGGGGCCGGCGTTTTTGATGCCTTGCCGGAGCCTCTGCAGCACCCACTTACCGAGTCCCACGCAGGACTGAGGACCTGGAAAATAAAACAGCAAACCCATTGCGGTGTGTCAAGGCTGGTCCTTGTCAGCAACTTCAGCTAAAGAAACCTCTCGGGAAAAGGGGGAATCAGAGTGCTGCCTTCAGCCTTTGGCAAGCTTTCCATGCCTGTCCTCCAGAGTGGTACTTTATATCTTCAAGCTCAGGCCGTAGTGCGGGTCGGAGGGGCTTTGTCGAGCCAAGAAATGCAGCAGTGAAACAACAGCTGCCCTTTCAAAGTGGCAGGGCTTCTTGGTGTCTCTTGAAGTGACACACAGGTCCATTGTGCATTCCAAGGGTCTGTGGCTTTCAGGGACAGAGACCTTCCTCTCTTACCAGAGCTCTGAGGAGAGCCGTAAGCTACAAAATATCATTTCAGCTTGAGCCCTGCTGAACTCTTTTTCGTTCTTCCTATGAAATGGGAGGCAGGGCTGGGCACTTGAGCAGCTTGGTCTGCACCATCCTAAGTCATGTGCATGGAGCCCACAGGAAATGTTGAGATGCCGGAGTCATTCCCATGGTGCTGGTCTCATTTTACCCCCCAAAAGTATCTTCTGCTGCCTTAAAAACAACCAATGGTAATGGAAAGTGCAGTAACCAGTCACAGGAAAGCACCCAGCTGCCTGCCTGTGGGCAGGTGCCATCTACTAAACCTGTGCCACCTTCTGCCCACTGCCCTGACCTCCCAAAACAGGGTTTGGGAAATAAATGTGGGGTTTTTTTTTTTTCAGAAATATGCCTGATCTTTCAGTTTTCTTCCCTTTTATGCAGGCTGCTGAAGCTCTTGTGCCCTGAATGGCTCTCCCAGTCCCTACCTGAAGACCTGACCTGAGCCGTGATCCTTCCAGCCAGTACCCCACTGTGATGTGATGGTGAGAGTGTGTCAGCCATGGTCTGCAGCCTGAGCTGGGAGTGGTAATTATCCCTTTTCCAATGACCTGTGAGTGGTGACTGCCAATTGTCCAAGGGCCAGGACACATTTCCTCCAGGAGCTGGAGGTCCCTGTGTCCCCACAGCCCCGGGATGTTGGTGACCACAGGCCCAGAGCCATTGAGTCCTCTGTACAAGGACTAATTGCAAGCTGTAACGTGAAATTTTTATTATGAGTCATTTGCTCCTTTAGCTATGTTATCTTTAGAATAATGTTTTTCTATTTTATTGTGTTATTATATTGTGGTATTGCCTTATTGTGTTGTTGTTACACAGATATTACATTTCCAAAGGTGCGGTAGTGGATCAGCTGGGTGGGGATTTGAATTCTACACCCCTGCACTGGGCCATCAGGTAGTGCTGCTTGCAACCCCTAACTGCAAATCTGTAGGTCTCAGATTCAGTCAAAGAGAGAAACGGAGAGTTTCTAGCCAGGCAGAAGCCTAGGAAAGAGTTGGAGAAGAATGTAAATAATTCTTTATCTCTCTTGTTGTTCACATTGTTTATAGTTAAGTTCTATCACTGTGCATCAAGCACTCTGCACCAATGGTGTGGGCTGTTTTCACTTCAGGACCAATGGAATTGTTCCTCACGAAGCTCTGTATAAAGGAGCGGTGTATTTTAAATAAACCGGAGTTTTACTCTCAGCAGCCTTCTGAGTCAGTCTTCTCATTCCCGTCCTGCCTCAACAGTGACACCAAGGGAACCCTACAAACTGACATCAGGAACCTGGACTGGTGAGTTTTCTTTCCCAGGGAAAAGGGCTGGTGTTTGTGTTCAGGGCCCTGAGCAGGTTTGGTTTGGGCTCCATCTACTTTGATCCCTCCCCTAACGTATTTATAGACATGGATAGGATCACCCTAAACTTTCTCTTTTCCAGACCAAGAGTTCCATCTTCCTCCATCTTGCCTTACGGCAGAGTTGTTCCAGTCCCTCCATCATCATCTTCACAGCCCTTCACTGCTTTCTTCTGAGCTGAGGAGCCCCAGCCTGGAACCAGCCCTAGAGGTGCTCAGCAGTGCTGAGCAGAGGAGAAGGATCCCCTCCCTTGGCCTGCTGGCTGCACTCTCGATGCAGCTCAGGATCCCAGAAGAGTGCATATTTTGGCTTATGGTGACCTTGGTGCTCTCCAGGACCTCCAAAGCCTTTCCTGGCAAAAGCTTTCCAGCCCAGATAGAATGGCCCCCAGTATGCTCTGGTGCCTGCCTGGTAGTGTTCCTCTCCTGGAACAGGACTTTGGGTTTCCCCTTCTTGAACTTGGTGATGTTCCTGTCAGCCCATTTCTCAGGCTTGTCAATGGCAATATTATCCTTCGCCGCTTCCTTCGAATATTGTCCCATATTTGGCGCTGATGTTGAATTGTTCTGAGAAAGAGAACCCCATAGGACTGTAGGACAAGAATTTTTGTGGCAGTAACTGCTGTGTGCAAGAGTTTCCATTTGTCTTTCTCAATAAATATACAAGGAAGTGTAATACTCAGCTGGCCAAAGAAGAGACTACTTTCAAGGCCCAAGCCACCGGGAGTGGGTGTGTGGTGGAGGACCTGGGCCATGCCTAAGGCTGGCTCAAGAGTCTCTAAGTGACTAGGGGAGATCAGCACCGAGGGTCAGACTGGATCCCCTGGTTCATGGGCAGAAGGTAAAAAACCAGTATGTACAATACTGGTTTGATCAGAGGGAGGTTCAAAGAGCTGGAATACCTGTTGAAAAAAAACTTTCATTTCGAAAAAGGAAGATATTTCACTTCATTTCTTGAATTCCTATCTTATTTAAAGAAAAAAAAGTTCAAAGATAAGCAAGTATGGATCTCATAGAACTGATTAGTATCTATGTTTTCTAATTCCGTTTTTAAACTTGTGTGTTAAGCAACTGAATTAAAACATGTTGCTGTAATTGTGGGTTGAGGCATGTATTATCTGCATTAATATTTTTTATTATTTATGAGATATAGGCATTATTCAAATCTTTGCATAAAACTTCTTGGCTAATGCAATCTAAGTACCTAAATATAATTAGTGGAACAGTTTGTTAGCATAATCATTGCCATGGGCTGTAATTAACATAAATTTTAATTTCATGACCTTGTAGAAGAGATTATAATTGCACAAACCATCATTGTGCTGAGAATGTTTTCCTCTTGAATGTTGATTTTTGAAGATGATCACCATAATATTTTGAAATTATGATTATTGTAGTACTCATCTGCATTCAGAGAATCAGAGAATGGTTTGGATTAGAAGGGGACTTTGTAATCATAAAGCTTGTAGATCATCTGGTTCCACCCTCCCTGCCATAGGCAGCAACACATTCCTCTAGACCAGTTGGCTCCAAGCCCTGTCCAGTCTGGCCTTGAACACTTCCAGGGATGGGGCAGCCATCTCCAGGACAGCTTCTCCAGGAAACCTGTGCCAGGGCCTCACCACCCTCACATGGGATAGTTTGTCCCCATCTAACCCTGCCCTCTGGGAGGGGGAAGACATCCCCCTTTGTCTTGACACGCCAGACCCTTGGAAACAGTCATTCTCCATCTTTCTTTCTCATATGCTCCCTTCAGAAACAGGAAGGCCACCATTAGGCCACCCCAAATATGCCCTGGCTACTCTTCTTAGGGACAATTTACCAGAGCCTTGCTGGCTGGGATTCTAATTTGTTAATTCATACATCTTAGATACTAATGAATGTTCAAAGGGAACAAATTCTTTGATTTGTACTCAGCATCCTGTATCTGGGCACCAAGAGGTTTGCTGAGTGGGAATGATGGAATTGGTGGAATTGTGGGGACACACACATAAAACTTCTGCCAGTTTTAGGTTCACGTCTCAAGCACCAACTATCCATTGCCATCTTGGTGAAGAGAATTCTACATCCAAATGGATTTTTTCAGGCTGTGAACTGCAAGCCATGCAGTGGGGTCCATCCTGCACCATGCAGACCTGCCATGCCAGTATTGACAGCTGGGCTGAGCAGCACCACTGGCTGCCATGAGCTCAGCACCACAGAATGGGCTAATTGCCCTAATCAGTATTGGCTGTGTTGGAGCTGTGCCAAGGAAAACATTCCTGGAGCTGTCACATCAATTAACCCTTGAGCAGAAAGAGGATCCCCATTCCGCAGCTATGGATCTGTTAGCTGGAGAAAGGGACAACCAATCTTTTGGAAAATATAGCAAATGGAACTACCACTGCTATGCAGTGCTTGCTATGCAAGCATTTCACAGTAAGTGGCTCAGTATCACAGACTGCTGCTCACTAGTGCCCAGCTTGAGACTAGTTGCTGGCTACAGAAGGAGGTGTTGGCATGTTAGTAAATACTGTCTGCTGTTATCTGTGCAAACCAAGATCAATGCATTGAGACCAAGCTGAAATTCTGGAGAAGACTAAAGCCCTCATGCAACATGATAACTAAAATTAATTAGTGTAAAACAACTGTTTGGTGGTCATGACTTAGCTTTTGTTTCCCAGGTCTCGGGAACAGGTTTTGGCTGTACTTACTCTTTAAGAAAAATGGCTTTAAATGGATGCCAGCTCTGTTCAGCTTCATTATCCTTGAGGACAGTTTCCAGGGAATCCTATGTGGACACTTCCTTAAAAAACTGAAAGTTTGCTCTCCTAAAATTTAGGGTCTTAATCACAGCCAGACTCTTAAATGCTCCTGCAAATAAAAGTCAATATATAGACAAATGTTTGCAAAAGCCAGTGTGAATGAACATGGAGGGGGAAAAAATTTAAAAGCAGCTCTCATGCCAAGGATCAAAGGCCAACACTCAGAATTCCCAGCTGGCACTCACTCCCAAGTGCTGCAGCGATGCTGAGTGCCAAGGCACGGAAAACTGCCTTTGCCATTGCAGCCCTCGCACTCCCCTGAAAAGGCAAGGGCTGCCTCACTGCTGCTGCCCTTCCCCGGGCAGGGATTTCAGCCCAGACCTCACTGGTTCTCATCTTGTGCATTCTCAGCTCTGGACTGCAAATGTGCTGCCATCAGGAGATGGTTCTTCACTACACTGCATCAGCAACGGTGGAGATGATTCCATTCCTGACAATCCAGCAGAGTAGAACTTACAGGAAGAGTGAGTCATCTGTAGATGAAATTAAGT